ATGTGGAAGGCCTGAGACCTGAAGCCAGGCTCCCTGTCGCATAACCAGCCCGGTTGCCAGTGTGCGGGAGGCTGCGTCCGCCGCATCCAGGGCTGCTTGGAGGGATGCCCGGGAAATTAACTTCCTCTCTTCTACTACAGCCAAAAACTCTGTTCCTGATTCCTGGGGAAGGAGTTCAGCGAACTTGGACAATGCTGAGCATGTATTGTGTCCATACCGGCTCACTATAGCCTGTTGGTTGGCTATACGTAATTGCAGACCCCCCCGTTGAGTACACCTTTCTGCCAATTAGGTCCAACTTTCTGGCCTCCCTGTTCTTCAGTGTAGACCCTTGGAACCCCTGATGCTCCCTTTGGTTGGCCGCATCCACAATCAGAGAGTCCTGGGGAGGGTGGGCATACAGGTGCTCATGGCCCTTGGAGGGCACAAAGTAGCGCCTCTCTGTCTTTTTGGCCAGTCTTTGCAGAGTTTAAACCCGGGGGACCTGGGCATGCCCCAGCGGGGCAACGAGTATGTTGGGGGAAACCCCCCCAACAACTATTAACTATCTACGACTAACACTAACTCTAAACTATGAGAGAGGAAACAGCTATATACACTTAAACAGGACACTGCTATGCTTGCTGCAAGAGCGAGCAAAGTTCTAGCTAGCCATCACCGGCGGTAAGAAGGAACCGAGGGGGTGGAGGGTCGGCAGGCCCCTACATAGGGAGCCATGGAGGCGCCACTCCAGGGGGCACCAAGGCCGACCCTATGGATGCTGCTAAATGAAAATCTTCCAGCTGGCGTGCACACACCTGCTTGGAATGGACATGAACAATCATTCAAAGAAGAACTCAGTTTTTACTTATTATAATTATTATATCTTAATCCACTTCAGTTCCATTTGGCGGAAAAATAAAGCTCAGCTTTACGACCACTACTGTTTCCGCCCTTTGTGCTTTGCCTTCCCTGTCCTCCTATCTTCCCTGTCTTTGTGTCTCTCCTTTCTCCGCACTGCATTTCCTTCCCTTCAGCATCAACTAAATCCCTTGTGAGTTTTATTCATTCCCTACCCATTCTGGTAAAACGATGAGCCCTGAAATAATAATATGTAAGGTGTCATCATTAGGATTTAACACCCAAATGAGATGAATGGGGTTGGAGAGTTGGCACCTCCCAGAGCATTGTTTCAGACTCAAGACGACAGCATTGTATCAGTTACATTTGCTTTGCATCTGGAAGGTTTTCTTCACTAGCCTGAGAAACTTTTTTTAAATAAATGAAAATGCAGCTTCTGCAGAATCCATATATGCCATGTGGGCCATATAAATACAGCAAATGGCCAGGAACCGGCCTCTGCTGGACACTTCTGGGTGAAAGCATAGACGAGACTTACAATATAGTAGTTATAACTCTTACTCACCCTCCTGCCCCAAAACTACGATCAGGACTAACATTTGATACCCCTCACTTAACTCACCTGCACCTTTTTAATTGACCTCTTTCTCAGAAGACTGGGAGAATGTATAAGCCTTACAAAGTAATCTTGAGGTCAAGTCAAAACGACTTAATCAATAACAGCTGTTTTTTAGTGTTGCAAAAATTATTTGCTTTTTTGTTTTGTTTTTAAACCTGCCAAAATATGCGCTCGCTCGCTCTCAAAATGGATTTTTTGTCATAGCTTTACAACCAGAACTTAAAAACTGCCCCTACCCCAATAGTTGGATCGAGTTTTAAAAAAGAAAAAGAAAAAGTGACCCATGTTGCAGAATCCTGCAAGATACGGCAGGATCCTTTTCTGGGGAGTAGTTGTCAGGAGACCTACACCATTGCTCTCCCCATTGCAATTTTGAGAGTGGGTTTGAAAAATTCTACCGGATGGAACCACTAAATAATAAAAGGCAAACTTGAAGCCTAAAGTCAGTACCAAAAAATCAGCCATAGACTTAGCAGCAGCAGCAGTAGACTAACCACCTATTAGCTGGCATGCATAAATAGACTAGATAGTCAGACTGAAATCCTGGCCCCACTGAAGTTGATGGTAAAAAACTCTCCAATTCATACCACCAGAAAACAGAGGCAAACCTCAGGAGCAGTTAAACTTTGACTCCTTCTATCATAAAAATCAAAACATCCCCATATTCTAGAATTTTTGTAGCTAACCTGCTGTGACATTTTTCATCGTGACAGCACATTCAGGAAACATGATACAACTGGGCAACAAACTTGCACTGAAAAATGTTCCTGTGAACTTTCCCAGTCAGGCTGCAAAGAATTTGCTAAGCAAAAAAACAAAAGGTTTTTCCTCAGCTCAGCTTCCAGTTACTTTGATACATGATGTTTCAACTAGTCTTAAAAAATGGACCCTGCATGAGTTTTGTATTAGTTTTTAAGGTTCAGGCCATCTTTCAAGCAACCTTGCAATTGCTCACCACTAGACCTGAAAATGGAATGTGAGTTTTTGTAATACTAAGCCACCCTTATTACTCTTCTTCTGTAGAGCCGAGTTTCCTAAAGCTGCTTCTCAATTTGTGCCAGCAATTTAGCTTGCCCCTGCAAGAGACAGAACTTGTGTGTGCATACAATGGCATCACGTATGCCTGCAAACATTGAATGACATCCTGGTCCCATTGAAGTCAATGGGATTTTTGCCATTGGGGCCAGGACGTCACCTATTCAGTTTTCATATGGCACAAATGACTAGTCTCACTTGTCTAGTTCATCAAGCTGCTGTGCTACCTTAACCTGTCTCTCTACAGGCCTTGTGATCACCATTCTGTCATGAGGATGTCTATTGTATGTCTCTAATCATGGTGCCTATTGAGTCCTGTCACTGAACATGAAAGTCGAAGCTTTGGCAAACTGTGAAAGAATTGGAGTGAATGATGCCCTAGAAACATTCAAAACACACTATATAGCTAGACTGGATATAGGAGATGGAGAGAATAAATATTGGTATTTTATAGGGTATAGACCATTAAACAGGAGCTGATAAAGGCTCTTCTGTATTTGTATGTTGTAGGGAGATGAAGAGGAATGCTATGCCTCACTTTCCCCTTTGTAACAAAAATTTCAGGAGGTGATTAGCCAACTTTGCTTCTAGTCCTCGTGCCCCAATAAGCCTTGCAAGCCTCTCTGACTTTTTGATTAATTAGTGCCTCCATCAACCCCCCCCAGGCTTACTGTTTTATTTTAAGTACTTCAGCCTCTTAGCTGTTACTGCAGATATCTGAGATCAACAGCAAGACTCCAGCCTCAGCGTTCTTTCGAGACATACACTGCAAGATGCAGTCTCATATCCCTGATTCTAACCCCCCCCCCTTCCCACATGCAGAGGTCTGGAGGTTAACAACATCACTGGATCAGGATAGTTTCTGGAATGGAAGTGGCGAGGGCAGAAATATGCAAGAACAGCCTTTTCTCATGGGGGGGTTTGCTTTCCCAGCAGGAACCAGCAAGTGTAAAGATAAGGGAAATTAAAAGAGCAACCGTACATATGTACAAAAAGGAGGTTTGGATTCTCTAGCCATCACATTCAGGGTATCCAAACTGCACTGCAATGGAACAACATGTGCAATATGTCACCACCACATCAGAATATCCGCCCTGAAGATCCCACCTTCTAGAACATATCCCTGGACTGCAGAAGGTACAAGGGTCACATAACCACACCAGGGAGCAGCTCTCCCAGCTTCCTTCCAGGACACAGGTGCTAAGCAAAGCACTTAAGCACATACTTAACTTTAAGCACACACTTAAGTGCTTTGCTGAACTGGGGCCTGAATTACCTCAAGACACACACAGCACACTGCAATGCCAAGGCTGCTGAGCCAATTCTTGCAAAACCTTTTGTTCCCTTGGCAGCCTGAGATAGGACTGGGTTAGTGTCTGAGTCACTTCTCCATTGTCAGCAATTAAACCACCACCATTATGGGTGGCAAGTACCAGGCCTACTGGTACAGTTCATTTGTATGTGTGTGCAGGGAAGAGACCAGGCATGTACTGTATATGACATGCCAGAGGGAGGACATGTAAGCACAGAAGTTTTACAGAGACTTTAAAATTACAATATTTGTTTGACGGGAGGATTCTATTAAAAAGATAAAAGATTAAACCTCTGTTCTCAGCCTGGAGATTTCGAGGGAGATTGGCACTTGTGCACCTAAATCCCTGAGGTGCTTTGGACAAGCTCCACATTAGGTCTCGAGTGAAATACTGAGTTAGCCTAAATGGGAGCAGAGGGAGCTCAGTGCCACCTAGCACTGGGCCTTTGAGATTGCATATGCAATAGCTAAACCTTTGAGCAGGGACTATAAAGAGCAAATAGGCTAGGAAATACCTTCCCTGAAGGCTGCAGGCACCTCATGATTAGAGTGACCTGAATTTGGAGAATATTCATAAAAGCAGAACATTTAGAGACGGAAGAGACCTGAGCTCACAAAAGATTCTGGGCTCACAGTCCTCCCTTCTCTACCTTGCTCATTCCCTAGCCAGTGCAATATTGTTCCTTATATTCTTGATTACTTGGTCCAGTCTCAACTTTAAATGTGCGCGATGGAGCTTGCATCACTTCTCTTTCCACAATAGAATAGGCCTTGTTTGTTCATAGCCTAAATTTTCCTTTGCTGAATTCCAACCCAATTTAATCTTAGTCACACACTGGCTGGACTGGGTATGTAGTTAAGAGAATGTTCAGCTTTAACAACAATTTGTGAATAACCCACTGGGCATTTAGAGCCTTTGTTTTGGGGCACTGCCCTCTTTATGCTCTTTTTTCAGTATTTTAAAAAAAATTGGGAGCGTTCCTCCAGCACCTCTTGTACATCCCCTCTCCCCAAATCCTCCAGAGTCTAAGAAATAATAAATTTTAATAGAAATTGCCTACGGACTCCCCACAAGACTACACAGATGGCCAAAAAAAATCATGATTGGAAGCATTCATACATATTTCAGAGAGAGAAACTGGAAAACTTGGTATATTGCAAGATGAGAAAATAGCAAAGGAAACACACCTTCAGTAAACAGCCAGACTGAATCCAGGTCAGTGTCTCACTTTAAATCCATGGTGCTCTCTGTCACAGTTACTGGGCCAACTGCACTTCATCTACTCTCGGGTTTCTCCGAGCACACCCCCTCTAGGTCTCAGGCCATCACCTCTTTCTTGGCGTGGAAACGTGTATTTCTCCCACTCTCAGACTGGGCGCTGGGTGGCAGTCCGCTGTGTCTCACCTTAGCAGATCTGATTTGGGCTCAAACCCTGCAGTTCATTCTCTGACAGTGGTAATTAGTGACCACACCACTTCCTTAAAGCAAAGGATCATTTGTTTAGAACAAAAACATTTAAAAAGAAAGCATATCTCGTTCTTCCCTAAGGCTTACCATTCCCTGGATCTGATAGCCCCAATTCTTTCAGACTAATCCACAGAATTCACATAATCCATGATTCCCACTGAATTCAAGCATTGTAAACATTCTACTAACCCCAACAGAAGGCTTTCTTGTGTAAAGGCATCAATCTAACCCAATATAGAACAACTTCCCATCATTGACTTATCACTGCGTAGTGTTCACACCATTATTACATATCAGTAGTCAGATTAATGTACAACAATTCCTACAGTATTCATAATCTTCATACATACCCGCTCTATTTCTGTCACACTACCTTACTGGAATTGTCTCACTGAAGTGAGCAATAGAGAGACAGAGGCACTGCTCAGCAGGATTCATCGGAAGAATCCTTTTGTATGACTGCTACTGATGCATTATACAAGTCGCTTAGACCCAGATGATTAAATATACAAACCATGGACCCAATCCTGTTAAACAATTATTACCAAGCACAAGGTTCACTGATATGATCAAGCATAATATTCACTTGACATGAGCAGGGCCAACGAAGTCAAGCAGCTACTCTAGAGATTGGGCCCAAAAATTCTGGTTGAGATTATATGTACCCAAAATGAAGTAATCCAAAATTATGGCTCCCGCACCCATGTATGTAATGTTGTGTCTTACTGCGTTAGAGTTAATATTAATGTTTATATGTAATGCGATGGCAACGTTTTATAGATCTGAAAAGAGAAAGGGTGAGAAAGACAGACAATCCATGATGGTGTGGGATCATGAATGCTAAATATAACTATTGTCACAAAGATTTTTTGGCACTCTTTTGGGATGATCTGCTTAACTCACTCAGAGCTTTGTCACATGAGTACTGTATCCATCCAAAAGTCACATCAATAAAACTTTTACATCACACCGGCATGTGTTCTCTCTGAATTCATATATGTATGTATGTATGTATGTGTTAAACACATTGTCTATCTCCCACCCCATCCCCTCTCTTTCGATGTAGATAAGGTAATCAAAACTTTGATTTGCCTGATTTACATGCAAGTAAACTTTCAATCATTATGCTCAACTAATGTTGAAGGAGCATGGCCTGCGAGTCAAGAATTCTGGGTTCTATTCCCAATTCTCTCACAAATTCACTATATGCCTGGGTAAGTCATTTGCCATGTACGTAAAATGGGGTTAATAGAGAAGTACAGGTGTGTTCACCAGTTTCTCTCTCTGCCAGACCACCCATACTACCATCTATTCTGCAGGGTTCAAAACACTCTGAGGCATCACATTTTGGATACAGCAACATTGGCACTGAATGTACAGTCCAATCATTGCAAATCTGAATAAAACCAGCAGGAGGGGATTCAGGGGATGGGTTGCCTGGCGAGTGTATGGGAAGGTCTGGAATGCTCAAGATTTCATTGAATTCCATATGCATATAAAGTAGTGTCTGCTGAGATCTGGAGCATCACTCTTCAGTGCACTGCTAAGCAGCATGGAGTAACCACATACTGCACATGCACAGGGTGTGCTTTTTTAAACACTGAACACGTGTTATAGTAGACCCATTTTCTTCAAATCATGTCAAAGAAATACGTGCATGGAAACCCTGATTTTTATAAGAGGCAGGTTTGCATTATCTAAGCATCAAAAAAACAATCAGCAAACAAAAATTCTAAACATTTCCTAACACTTTTCCCAGACTTGTCAAAGAGATTCAGCATTGGGCTAAAAATAAATATGGATAATTTGGAGGAGGAAAAGTTATAAACAAATCAGCTAATACATGCCTTCTTATCCATAGCTCTAGTGTCATGCCATTGATTTCAATGGGAATGTCACCGGTTTTCCACAACGGTTCATCATTTCAGATGTAGGACCCAGACTTCAAAGCTTCTTAGGAGTCTCCAGTCCTGCAATGAGCTTGACGCAGGCTGTCCATGAACTTGCACAGAGACTCAGTGGGTCTCCATGTGGGCGCAATGCTCACAGGGGGATTGGGTTTATACCCTGAAGAGACATTTGGGGCCTGATTCTTACACCTATTTTACCTGTATGGACATCATTGGAATAGCCCCTGGTTCACATCAGTGTAAGAGGAAATGGGAATGAGGTCCTTCATATTAATATAAGAAGTTTCATGTGGTTTGTTTGTATGCATGGAATCATGAAAACGCTATAATATACAGAAGAGAGTTCTGCTAACTTTATTAAAAATCTTCAATCTGATGTTTAACAAAAGCATATTCACTATTATTAACTATTCATGAATAGCCCACTGGGTATTTGGGGCCTTTGTTTCTTGTGTGTACTGAACTCAGGTTTTTTCCTCTTTCACAGTGCGTTTAGAACCCTGAGAGCATTTCTAGTGCACTGAGCTGAAGAGGATTCTCAGAATCATTTCCCTGATCTGCTGTACACTTCATGTTCTCCACGTCTCTGAAGCTGCTTACTCTAACACTTTAAGCGGTGTCTACTGCTGAGAGCTGAATGCACAACTTATTTTTAAAAATTTTTATACCTGCTGCTGATAAAATGTAACTGTTCCACAGCTAGAAGGCAATCTAGAAAGCAGAGAAAATATAATTAAGAAAAATTAAAATTGATTGATACAACAAAATGTAGCAAATTACTCCATACACATTAATTTAGTGCTTTCTGAGTAACTTAAACATTTAATTTATTTAAATTACCTGTAACTGTCTGATGATTAAACCAACATAAGGACATAAATTCTCTTTAATTTGCCTTTGTTTCTATTCTAGGCAAGTCAGACAGTATTGTAATGTACAAAATGCACAAAAATCAATTATACTGTTGACCTGTACAAATAAGATGTCGGCTGGTGATCAAGTTCACTGACATCAGATAAAGATAACTGTCAAATGAAGTACTTAGATAGGTCCCACATTTTCAGGGTACTCAGCCGTCTGATCTCCCTTTGACTTGAGATGTGTGTGTTTGAATGTGTAGCATCTCACAGTATAGGGACCATGATTACAACCTGTAGAGGTTCATCTCTTAGATGAACATCAGTAGTCGCCCAAGGTGAATTCACAGAAAAGAAACAAAATGCTACAGGAGAACTTTCACTCTAGTGTCCTACTGTCCCTTTCACCCACAATTTCTCCCCTTTCCAATACTGGGGCTGATTCACAAATGTGTTAAGCCATTTGAGTTCCTTCTGAAATCACAGGACTCAATGGAGCTATACTAGGGCAAAACTGAGGCCTGGTCTACACTAGGAGGTTATGTCGAATTTAGCAGCGTTAACTCGAATTAACCCTGCACCTGTCCACACAACGAAGCTATTTATTTCAACACAGAGGTCTCTTTAAATCGATTTCTGTACTCTTCCCTGACGAGGGGAGTAGTACTAAATTCGACATGGCCATGTCGAATTAGGGTAGGCGTGGATGGAATTCGACGCTAATAGCTCTGGGAGCTATCCCACAGTGCACCACTCTGTTGACGCTCTGGACAGCAGTCCAAGCTCGGATGCTCTGACCAGCCACACAGGAAAAGCCCCGGGAAAATTTTAATTCCTTTTCCTGTCTGGCCAGTTTGAATCTCATTTCCTGTTTGGACATCGTGGCGAGCTCAGCAGCACTGGCAACGATTCAGAGCTCTCCAGCAGAGGTGACCATGCAATTGCAGAATAGAAAGAGGGTCCCAGCATGGACTGATCAGGAAGTCTTGGATCTGATCACTGTTTGGGGAGATGAGTCCGTGCTTTCGGAGCTGCGATCGAAAAGACGGAATGCAAAGATCTACGAGAAGATCTCCAAAGCCAGGACAGAGAGAGGATACAGCTGGGATGCAACGCAGTGCCGTGTGAAAATCAAGGAGCTGAGACAAGGGTACCAGAAGACCAAAGAGTCAAACGGACGCTCCGGATCCCAGCCCCAGACATGCCGTTTCTACGAGGCACTGCATTCCATTCTAGGTGCGGCTGCCACCACTACCCCACCACTGACCGTGGACTCTGAGGATGGGATATTGTCAACGCCCGCTTCCTCGGACATGTTAGCGGACGGGGAAGATGAGGAAGGAGATGAGGAGGACGAGGCAGTCGACAGCGCTTTCAATGCTGATTTCTCCGACAGCCAGGATCTCTTAATCACCCTTCCAGAGATCCCCTACCAACCCTCCCAAGGCGGTAACCCAGACCGTGAATCAGGGGAAACATCAGTAGGTAAGTGTTTTAAACATTTATTTTGAACAGAATAAGAATGGTATCTTAACAATGGGTTTTTCATGATTAGTTTGCCCGAGGCGCTTTACTTTTTAGTCCTTGCCAGTGCAGCTACTGGAAAATTCTGTCAATATGTCTGGGGATAGAGCAGAAATCCTCCTGGGACATCTCCACGAAGGTCTCCTGGAGGTATTGTGAAAGCCTTTGCATCAGGTTCCTAGGGAAAGCGGCCTTATTGCGTCCTCCATGGTAGGAAACTTTTCCGCGCCAGGCTAGCAGCAAGTACTCCGGGATCATTGCTCGCAAAGCATGGCGGCATATGGCCCTGGTGTTTGCTGGCATTCACGCAGCATGCGGTCTTTCTCTGTCTCTGAAATCCTCATCAGAGTGATATCACTCATGGTGACCTGCTTTGAATTAGGGGAATGTTAGTATTGGGACTGATTGCCTGTTCCTTTACATAACTGTAACCAGCCATTTACAGCCACAAGGTGGAGGCGTGACAGGGGCAGCATGCAGGGATCTTTCCCGGGGACAGCCGCGAGGAGGGTGGGACAGGGGCAGAGTTCATGCTGGCCGGATTGCCGGCAGCAGGAACTGGCCAACACTAGGAGCATTGCTTGGAACGTGAAAGGAGGGCACTGCTATAAATTAAGCTTTAAGCAGCCAAAAGTCTACGGCTTACCATGTCCGCCTGCTAGCCGAATTCCGTTGTCCGGTCCCGCTTGTGTGATCTGTACAGCAAGACCCCAGGCACTCAATGGGAAGGCCGAAAATTCAACCTTGTGCTGAGTGCGCATGTGATAGGTGCTGTGCATGGTCTTGTTCACAGAGAGACTATATTCATTGTTCGCAAAAATGTATCTTTTTGAGGAATTCACTCCCTTTTTCTCATCCCACAGCTGCGAGTGTCTCCCGAGCTACCCTGGCATCCCCCTCCCAGAGGCTGGCGCAGATCAGGCGACGAAAGAAAAGGACACGGGATGAGATGTTCTCAGAACTTATGGGCTGCTCTCGAGCCAAGGCGGCACAGCAGACCCAGTGGAGGCAGAACATGTCACAATACCAGTGATCACACAGCGAACAGGAGGACAGGTGGTGGCAGGAAGACCAGCAGGCGACTCAAACGCTGCTTGGACTAATGAGGGAGCAAACGGAGACGTTCCGGCGCCTTGTAGATGTTCTGCAGGACCAGAGGCAGGAGGACAGAGCCCCGCTGCATTCTCTCTCTAACCGCCCTCCCCCGCCACAAAGTCCCATCCCCCCCTCACCCAAAGTCCCAAGAAGGAGGGGCGGCAGGGGCCGTGAAAACAGTCACTCCACCTCTGCAGACTGCTCAAGTAACAGAAGGCTCTCATTCCCAAAGATTTGATAAGTCCTTTCCTTCACTCCAAAAGCACCTCACCCAAGCCCCCGTCCCAATTTCATCCCCTAACTGTGTAGTTGTTAAAAAATACATTTCTGTTAATTACTGTTTCTGCCTGTTGAAATAAAAGTGTGCAAAAGGATGATCCAGCACACCCCATGTCTTCATGTATGTTTGTACAGGGCCTGGCACGACCAGGCCTAGGCCTCAGTTGTGCCTCAGGGGCTATGGTAATATCAAAAGTAAATATTGATGTTAATACTCTTTATTTAAAGGCTCAGTTCTGTCACCTGTACTCATACAGAGTAGCAGGTAGCCCCATTAGCAGCTGGGAGGCCAGCGAGGTACCAGATCTGACCTGCTGTTGCCAACGTAGGTCTAGGAAGCAGGACAAAGTTATCTAGTGTGAGGCTAGGAGGCAGGACTAGATTGTGCTACCTAGAGTAGTAAATCCTCCTGTCCATTATACTGCTCCTGTCTACTCAGAGCTCCAGCTGACATGTACTGTTATCCAGGTTCTTAAAAGGGAGCAGTTTGACCCAGGGGCACTGGACTGGAACTCAGGAAACTTGGGTTCTATTCTAGGGTTGCCAATTTTGTAATATTTAAAAACCGGACATTCCAGCAGGAATGCTGGAGTGTACCCCACCCTGCCCCACCTCTTTCTCTGAGGCCCATCCATGCCCTACCACTGCCCCACTTCTTCCTCAGATCCCCTTCCCCCCTTCCACTCCTTTACCCCTCCCTCCATAGCTTGCTGCTCTTCCCACCCTCCCTCTGCCCAGGTCAGGAGGGACTCACTTGTGGAGCCAGGACTGGGAGCTTCAGTTGCCTGATACAGGTAAGGAGGTGGCCCGGCTGAGTAGGGACCTGCGTGGGTTAATGACCCGGAGTCTCCCTGCCTCCCCCACCTTCAGGAACCTGACTTTTGGTGTTCAATTAGTAGAGCTAACCACTGTCTGGTCCCCTTTTCGACCGGACTTTCCAGTTGAAGACTAGACACCTGGCCACTCTATTCTATTCCCAGCTCTGCCATTGGCCTGCTGGGTGACCTTGGGCAAGTCACTTCGCATCTCTGTGCCTCAATTTCCCATTGGTAAAAGGAGGATAGTGATACTGACTTCCTTCGTGAAATCCTTTGAGATCTACTGATGAAAAGCACTACCCAGGAGGTAGGTATTATTAATTATTATTATTATTATTACACATCAACAGTACATTTCCTGTGGAGTTCTACAAGCAGAAGACAGCAACATGTGATTTGGAGGCCTACAGGGGTAGCCTCACATCTGTTCCCCCAGAAATTCCCATCCACCAGAAAGAGGTATAGAAGCAGCATAATCCAGGTAAGCTACACAATAACTGACCTTTCTGGATTTTCTAGTGCGTATCATCCTTCTGCCCAGTGGAAGGCATCACAGCATTTACAGTACACTCAGCAGCATCCATTGAGGGAGTTGGATGCTGAACATTTTCGAAAATCTGGCCATTATTTAATATGGGAAAACAGCCTGGTGTATTTATAAACACACATAAAACAGATGTTATGGATTTTAATTAGAAATGAAATAATTGCAAATTAGAACTGCACCGCTTCATGTAGGTCCTGTGCCCTCTTTTCCTAAACCCCATCCCCCACTAGGCCTGGGCTTCTTGAACTCACCTGATGCCATCTTCTGGGGAGGGGCTGAGCGACCCTGTCCCTAGTTAGCTATCCAGGGTCTCCGAGTACAGTGCATCAGAAGTACCAAATGTCTCTCTCCAAAGGGCAGGATGGAGGAGTGAGCCAGTCCAGTATCAGACGGATACACAACTGAGGCAGGAGCATACATCAGCAGCAGGCAATGTGCAGAGCTGGGCCAAGCTGGAGGAAGGGTAGTTCTGGAAGGAAGAGGAGAAGTGGTGAAACTCAGCAGTGTTATTACAAAATGGGCACATTTTTCAGGGTGCACTTGGCGTTCAGGCTACCCAGTGAGAATCCAGGCAAAACACACCCATAGGATTCAAAACAGGCAGGTTCTCCACAGTTCAGTTTTTAATACATTCATCCTTGTGAGAAAGGGCTCTAACTCAGAAAGTCTGGGCCAAATTCACCCCTGGGGTCACGTTAGTCAAGTCAGAGTTACACCAGGCAATGATTTTGGCCCCGTGTGCGTAGTCAAATATATGATATTACAATTGCTAAAATAAGTATTCACTGAATTGCAAAAAGATTGCAGTAGGTCAGTGCAAGTCGTCTCTTTTTGTTGTTGTACAGAACTAGCTCTAAAGCCATACGTTATTATCTCTCTCTTATTTGTCCCAAAGTTCATTTTCTAAATGAAACACACAAAGTATGATTCTCTGTGAACTGAACCAGGCCATGTCTCTTCTGCTGATTACTCTGCTTCCATTTGGGGCTACACTGTCCTGCCTTGAGTTGATAATGGGGAAGATATTAATTACATTCAGGGAAAATGGAGTTTAATGATTCCCAGAGGGACACACTATAGTCTCCCTGAAACAAGTTCTTTCCACCTTTTTATGTAAAGTACAAAAGCCTCTGCATAAATGGTGCAAGACATTTTTATGGGTTACATCATGAGTGGAAAAGAACAGCAATTGTATCAAACTGCCAGGATGCATTAACCTTGTTTCTTATTAGCTGAATTGGTTTTTGGAAGTAAAGTTAAGTAGACTCCTGAACAAAGGAGATGCTGCTGCCTCCATATATTGTTTTTAACACTCTAAAGTGTATTATATAGCGATGGCCAGGAAGAAACCCTCTGTTCTGCACACACAGAGGCCCTGGTACTCCGCTACAGCTTTTGTGCTTCAGCACCAGCAGATTTTGCCCCTAGAGCCAGTGTAACCAACAGAGGGAGGATCACCCCAGTTTAGGGGAATCCTTCAGCATACTATCCCCTTAGGGCCTCCCCATCCCCTTCTACTTGAAAGTTACAGAGCGTTGTAACTGTTGGGTAACGTTTGCAAACCCCGCTATGGACTATTCACTTCAACTCTGATATTGAGGGACTTACAAAAGAGAACCATAGAGAAAACCACAGATGGTCTGCACTGACCATGCTGAAGACTAGCTTCAGCAATCAGGTCACGTGAGGAGATGTCTTTGTTTCAGCAGTAAAGGCTAAACTTCGAAACCTATTTTACCCTTTCAGCTTCTGCAATAGAAGCACCTTTGCTTCTCTCACCCTTGTACCGGCATGGCTCATCATAAGTGTCCTGGGGAGGGTTGTGTCATCTCCCAGAAATAGGTGGATTATTGTACAATCATTAAGTGTTACACTAAAAGCAGCTATTCTTTGCTTCTCCTTGAGTCACGGTATGTATTGACTAGTCATTCACATGCATTCTCCTAAATTATTCCCCCCCCCAACACTTGTTCAGATATGGTTTAGTAACATATCCATTTCAAACAGACTATTTGAGATGTGTTTATTTATACCAGCAGCGTGATATGGAGGAACTAGTGTAAGATTGGGAGGAAACAGGCACTGAGTTTTAATCCTGGCTCTGCCACAGACATACTGTGTGACAAGTCACTTCACATCTCTGTCGCCATTTCTCCACCTTTAAAAAGGGGATAATGCTGCTTACTCAGCTACCTCACAACAATGGATTGGGGATTAACTAGCTTATGTATATACACTGCTTCAAACATGGTGAAATACTAGAAACATGCTAAGTCTGATTTACACATTACCTGGGCTCTCCAGAAGTGAAGAAATTCTTGAACTTCAGATAGCCAGTCAAGTTTGATCTGCCCTCTGACCATTTCCCTCGTCTGCTGGAATGCACAGGAATCTGCGTTTTTTAAAATTAGTGCTCTTTGTGTGGCTGACGAGCCCATGCACTGTAGCACCGTCCTAGACAACGTTCTGTTAATCTGTAAATGAACAGTTCTCGTTGGTCTGTAACTCTCAGCTCTAACTGCACGTGAAATGCAAAGAACAGACCTTAAAGTTTTGCACAGATTTAATGCACAATTAAAAGTCAGTTACAAAAAGCCCATCTGTCTCACTCGGTTTATAATGAAGTAGGATGAAAGTCAAAGTTGTTTCAGTGCATTGCAACTGCAGCTATACTGCAGCCTCAGCTTTTAGGGAATGTGTTTTGCGGGGAAGAAAACAGCTTGAGCTGGGCTGTGACTAGCATTGGGCAAAAGCCACAAAAAACTGTGTGAACATTGTTCAAATCTTAATGAATTTGCTTCAAAGATATTCCCCCCCCCTTTTTATTCGTTTCCTGTGACCATTCATATAAGCAATTTTTTGGGGAAAGAAAAGTAGGAGAAAGTGAAAGTCTTATCAAAATGGGGCCTTGATCCCTAATTGACGTCCTTAGGTGCTACTCTACAACTACTAAATAATAGACAACCATCATTTGTGTGAAGGTTCCCCCAGGAAGTGTTCCCATGGCCATCTTCAAATCTCTCCTCTCTTTTCTCCATGCAATAAAAGCCAATCAGGGAACAGAATCTATTCAGGCGCCACTAAGCCCACACTGCCCCATAAAGAACAGTGAAGAAAATGGCTCCCAGAGCTCCTGGATGTGCAGAGGCTGCTTAGTTGCTCTCAACCCTTCCCTTAATGGGGGCAGCTGATTTCCCCCTCCCAGCAGTCAGCAAACTGTGTTGAATGGTGTGTGTAGCTAAGCCAAGACTGCTTGGCTTTGAAATAACATATACCCTGGGGACAGTAGTGGACTACATAGGGGAGCCAGGGAGGAAGTGCCTTCCATTGTCCTCCCATGCTGTGCATCCATAAAAGGGCCAGCCAGAATCTCTCCCTGAATACATTTGCTCTGAGTATTTTGCCCATCTCTAGCAGTGGCACCTTTGAGGCAGAAAGGTTGTTGTGTTGTGTTGTGGTGAAACAAAGGGCTAGTCAAGATTCCCATATTTTTAAAGTTGTAAATAAATAAAAGGAAATAATAATAAAATAATTTGTATTCAACGAAAAGCAAAGTCACAACCTCCCAAATAGAAGAGAGAGGCTAGAGTTGTAAAATCATGCTATTTTCCCAAACTATTTATAACAACTTCTACAGAAATAATTAAACCATTTATTATTATTAGCTGCAGGCTAGCCTGAGAAGCAAAATCTTTTGGTTCCAATTTAAAAACAGGGACAGCTTAATAGGTTCCTGAAAATGCTGGATCCCAGCTTTAGTTAAATCTTATTCTTGATTAAATGCTACATAATTGAAAAGTGGTGTGTGATTTCTCATCATCATTCCTAGTCTGCTAAAATACCTATATGGGCTGTCAAATCACTGTCAAGTTGAAAGATTGTTTCCTCTTTTTTGTGTATTTGATCCTGCGTTCCACAGTAGATTTCTTTGCTTTCTATGAGAAGACGTCTGAGCTCAAGATCACTCAGACTGTTTAACAATAAAAACATTCAAGCTGCAGTATGGACAGATGGGAAGTTATCACATCAGGATTTGTTTTAAAATACAAGTCCCTCCTGATAAACTAATATTGTCATCTGGTCTAGTGGCAAACGGAACATGCTGCAAACAGCAATCTGCCCCCAGAGGAAAAGTGTCAGATTGTGATTTATGAACACGGAGCCACTAAAGAGTATGATTTCACCCTAAATCAGTAATTCATCAAGTAAAGGACCTCAAGCAAATAGTTGAATATTGGTGCCTCAAAGGGTCAATAGACTTCTAACTAACTTACATTTCAAGCACAAATAACCAAACAAAGACACTACTCCAGGGGAAAGCTGTTTTTGAGGATGCCTTGCAAAATGAAAGTGCTTAGGTTTGAATGTTCAGGAATCCATTCCCAAAGGGGCACTTTAATGTCCATGCGGAGAGCACAAGAGAATTTGTGGGCATTCAAACATTTTCAAAATTTGGGTGCTCAGGACTGCTAACCCTAATGAACCCATCGAACTGAGATGGCACAAATCAATGAGCAGGTTGTAGGGCAAGGGTCGGGGTGATGGTCAGGGCCAACTGGTAAAGCATGTGAGAGCATTTTAAGCCTAATTAATTACCTAAAGTGAGTCAATTGATTTCCACATTTAATGAATTACGAATGATTGGAAATCGCTATGACTGAGATTGTCCATGGCTTAGAAAAACCCTACACAAAAGCCAGAAAACTCAGTTTCAGCTTATAGCTTTTCTACAGATCATCCCTTTGAGGGAGCGGAGCATGCCCTGATTGCCCTGTAAAATGCAGCTGGAGACATACCCCTTGATAACCATGGATGGCCTCAGATTTGCAGGGAAATCCCATGGCTCCTGAGCCATCCAGTGAGAGCTGGGACATTTGCAAGGAGGCTCAAATTCACTACTCCCTCAGCTCTCACCTAAAAGCCACAATGCTATGGGCTCCCCATTGCTGGCTGCCCTCAACCCTGGCAAGGGTTTCAATGGGTCTTCAACTTTGCTGAGCATCAACTCAAAGCAAGGTCACTCTAAATCACCTTTCAGCTTTTCTGATCTTGCCCTGACCATCGCCCAAATGGCCCCAGTGTAACTTATAGCAACTCAGTGTTTACTCTTAAATTACACCAACTGGACCAACTGCATTGACCAGGGATCAGCCAGAACATCATGTGCTCTGCCCCTTCCTTCTCCATGCCACCCTTTGCTGACGTGCCTTCTGTTTGATGGGAAGGGAAGAGCAGGTAAAAACCTCTCTTGTAGGGCAAATCCTTGGCTGCCCTGCGGTTACTTGGTGCTACTGCAACAGCTGGCGCCAGGGCTGAAGATCTGGCTCACTGTTTTCACCAAATCCCACTTAATTCCACAGCGAGGTAGAATTCTTCTCTGACATCCCCCATGCACTGGGGGAGTATGTCTGCTACCAGCTTGTTCCTCCTGCATGCCAGACTCACAGGTCAAGCTAGAGTGGAGGGGAACCTGGACCAGGGCATTGCCTTCTCTGGGGCACTATGCAGCCCCGCAGTAGAGAGATAGAGTAGTGCCTGTACCCTTATAACTGCTCTGCCTTTACACAGACTTCACAAATGTGGAAAATCTCCTTCCCCCATTTCCCTTTATGTTGCTCCCATGTAAGAGAGAGACAGAATCTGGCACTTAGCATTTGCACTGAAGTGAGAACAGTACACATCAATTCACACAGTTTTCAAGATTATATGATAAAGTGAAAGTCTTTATATGATAAAGTGGGCGACCCACTTCAGACTTAGATGCCAAGGTCTGGGGTCATTGTTTCCATAAAATTAGACAATCTACATTTTAATTGATTTGGTTTTTTATTTGCACTTGTAAAAGTGCTAAGTAACATCAATAGTATAATTTACACTTGTGTGCTCTTAAGGCTAGGTTGTTCAGAACTCTTCATGGAGCATCAGTCCAGGATTACTGTGGAAAATGGGTTTTATTTTACTGCCACAATCCACTCTTAATACAGAGTAGCTGGAGGACCAGGGCCGGCTCCAGGCACCAGCCGACCAAGCACGTGCTTGGGGCGGCCAACGTTGGGGTGGCGGGGGGCGCTCGCGATGTTTTTGTTTGCAGGGTGGCGTGGCGCTCGGAGGGGGGTGGGGGTTTGGGCGGTGCAGCCTGGCACTCCGGGGGTTTGGGCGGCCCGGCCCTGTGGGGTGTGTGTGTGTGTTTGCCTGGCGCGGCGCTCCGGGGGTTTGGGCGGCCTAGCCCGGCGCGGTGCTTGGGGGAAGCGGGGGGTGGGGGTTTGGCCGGCCCGGCGCGGTGCACCAGGGGTTTGGGCAGTGCAGTGCTCGGGGGTGGGGGAGGTTTTATGGCGGCACGGCGCTTGGTGGGGGGTGTTACGGCAGGGCAGTGCTCTTCTTTTTTGCCTGGGGCGGCAAAAAAGTTAGAGCCGGCCCTGTGGAGGACTATAATGTATAATGTAATAATGGAGGACTTCCACTTCCTCAACTTGTGCAGGACAGATCTATTTCTTGTCTGTTCAAGATCTGATTCCTCGCACACTGATGTAACTGACTTCCTTGTTCAGACCAGTGTAATTCAAGAGATCAGGTCCTGTATTTTCTAGAGATAGGAATATAGTTACATAGATGGCGGTTAAGTTATCATCATAGAGTTCTTAGTCCAGTTCCTAGAAAAGACAAGGACATATTGTATTAGAGACTTAATAAATGAAGATATTTCCAAGAGGAGGTCACTCTGTAGCGCTTTGCTAAATCATGTGATGTTTGTTCTCTCTCTGCTTTCAAGACAATGGCCCAAACCAATAAACTGGATAGCTACAAGTAACCATGAATGTTATGTTCACAATTTGGATCCAAATATGACAGATTGGTCGTGACTCTACTATTTTCATTATCTACCAAAAGGACACTAGTTTTACCATTGATTATCTTCTCAGGCACTTGAAATGATAGTACAACTGCCTCGGGATGAGGCTGTGGGTTCTGCTCTTTCAGACGAGAGAAAGCTTAACGTCATAGTGACTGAGTACTGAGAAGGAGTCAGAGGAGGCAAAAAGTAGAAAAATGGTGGTTCCTGGTGATTGTGGTGAGAAACCACCAGTCCTCTACTACCCAAACCATTGTGAATGATAACTACTGCAATTTTGTTCCTGAAGGATATTTTCATGAAAACATAATATTCATTCTAACTAGCCTGAACTTTCAAAACTTGTTCTGTTTGGAATTGTTGTCTTCCAACTACGAATAGGAAATAAGCCGAATGGCTTATTATCAGTAATAGAGTCTGTTATATGCATTGCTGGGTGTTTCGGGAAGGCTTTTAGGATTACGGTAAATATGTTTTGAAATAGGAAAAAAAGTCATTTAAAAGTCAGTAAAATTATGCAGGCTTTAGATATTGCTTTTTCTTAAGTTTTTGGAAGCTCTCTCTGGAGTTAAAAAATACAACTAAGAGACTGTTTACTGCTGCACTTTGAG